ACAACTTTCTAACTAGATAAAAACTCTTAATGTTACATACATGTATTAATGTTTGTGATGTTGAGCATATTATATAAAGACTTCAGCTTAATAAATTGATTATTATAGATATATCAAAATAATAACGTATAATTATCTCTCTATGGGTAACAACAATTATACAACAGTCACTTTATGTGAATGCTATTTTAATACATTATAAATAACATTTATTTTTGTGAAGTATTTATTTTAAAATTATTTTCATATTATTTAATTTGAGATTGGATAATAAAATTACAAGCTGTATGGATGGATCACAGTCAAATAGTCAACAGAATTTTTGCAGAACGTGTGAATTGTTATTCATTTTTTCTGTGGCTAATAAATCAAGTGACAATGTCACATTATACATCACGTCATATCCTTTTGAATTTTTTAAATTAATTTAATTTATTTTAACATACAAAAACGATCCATGTGAATGGGTAGTTAATATATTATAATACACTATTTTTACAAAAGCTATGAATTAACTTATGTTAATTCTGTCAATAAACACAACTGGTAGAACATGCAATACATTTTAGCTATAAATTAGTATACTAATATTAGTTATTATACTGTTAAATCTCAATAAGTAATGGGGAAACAATTTATATCAATTGTATGTTCATTGGTTTGGTAACACGTGTGTGTTGGTTTTGGCAGAATTTTTTGAGTGGGCACCCATAGGTATCTACCGTGCCCGGGTGGATGGATGGCGCCCTCTTTCCTCAGATACCGTGACTGCCAGAAGAAATCGTGATTCCGATTGAGTCTTATCAAAGTGTTGTTGCTTTTCTACTTTTGACTGTTCAAAATTTTCAAATTCTCTGTTTAGATTACTAATTTTTTACTTCTAACTCTTTCTTCTCGCGTTTCAAATTATTAACAGCAACTGGAACATCACTTTCCAATAGAACTGGTTCAGTAGCACTTTGTAAAGAGTACATTCTATTACTTTTTAGTAGGGGTGGCAAAACTGCAGCTCACGTCATAAACGTATGTGGTTCGCAACTTATAGTAAGATACAAAATTTTTTTCACTATTTGTTGCATTCAAAAAAATTGGTCCTGTCTTCTTGTTGGGGCATACTGTTGATATTTCTATTAAGTTCAACTTAAAAAAAAAGTTAATATTTTAATACAGCACTAGCATACCTACTTAATTTTTTTCTAACCCAAAATTAAATTATAGAGTATAGTGTTCATACTTTATACAGTATTTCCATATAAGTTAAATTGGAAAAATATCAACATTTTAACTTTTAAACAATTCACTATGAATATTTTTCAACATGAAAACGAAATAGACTGAAATTTTGAAATGTAATAAAAATAAATTAACTTAACTTACTTCTTAAAATGAAAAATTAATTCGTTAATTAAAAAAGAAATTTAGTTAGTTTATTAATTAGTTAAGTTAATGAAAATCGAAATTTAACTATTCAAGTTAAAATAAAATTAACCTTTTAACTCGTTAATGCCCAGCCTTGATTATAGGGAATTGGTATATTTTGTTCTGCTTTTTGGTCCCCTGTCCTGGGCTAGTATCGCCAAGCACTTGCTACAGCTCTGTTCATAAATACAACACACACGTGCATAGTATAATAAATTGTATACATAGTATCTACTTATTACAACTTATTGAGATTAATTGAGAAACTAACTGTTACTTGTTTTATAAATAAGATTTAACATAATATGCATTTTTTTTTTTTACAGTTTCCAGTGTTTTAAAGCCGTGCAGTGACCAGTGTTGACAAAAGCCGAACAGTTACCTGTGTTTTCAAGAGGCATTCGGCCAATATACATTTTTAATTTTTGTTTACGTTAATAGTACATTTAAATTTTTTTTCTGTTTAAGACATTTTTATTTTATTTTTTATATAATATAAAGTTTATTGTTTGTTAAGTGTTGTTCTATTATTATTTTTTAGTTAAATATTTAATTGTATATATATATTTTAAAGTGTAGTGGTTTAGTTGTAAGTAGGTTTTTTTTTTTTGCAGGTAAAATTTTGTGTAACTATAGTATAGGAAAACAAGGTTATAAGTCGAGATTTAGGTTCAAGACTTAAAATAAAGTCGAGATTTCGGTTCAAGACTTAAAATAAAGTCGAGATTTAGGTTCAAGACTTTATTGCTTAGAGTTACTGCTTATAGTTTTCACATTCAATCAATTAAGGCTTATTTTCAAAACTCAAAAGCAATGGAAGTCATTGATTCATTAGCTTTGGCTGATGTTATTGACTAGAGATCTCTTGGTGATGGTCAATGGTTAACTGCAGGTGCAATTGATGCTTGTGTGAAGTATTGCAAATACTGCAAATCTGTCAAACCAAATCAACAATTTATTGTTATACTGCTGTGTGGTTCACATTTTCAACACATGATATCTAGATGTGTTAAATCCATCACAAAAAGTAAAAAAATTCATGATTTTGTTTTGGACTGTACCGCTTTATTAATCATAAGTACAAATCTGAATTCAATAAGGACTACTATACGATTAATGTTTAATATTCTCCTAAATCAGAAAAAAACTTTGTGCTGTGCTCACAGTATGAATGCGTTAAGTGATCAGTGTCATTCGGTTAAAGCAAAAGAACCATCCGACGGTGATGACGTTTCTGGTGATGAAGCAATGTTTACCTATAGCAGCAGCAATATTAAAGAACAAAGTATGTTTTATGTTGATTTTGAAAAAATTTAAGTATAGAAATGTCTATGATACATGTAAAATAGCAGACAATTGTGAGTTATTACCCAATAATGAATATTATTGTGAATTGTTTGCAAAAAAATTTCTTAACTTGTATTTACCATTCACTTGTATGTGGACAAGATTGATGATGCCAGAAGAAGTTATGTCAAAATATTCTGTTAAAACTATTACAAATGGTAATGTGGAAAAGCATTTTGATAACGTAAAAAATTCTTTGATGAAAGGTGAAACAAATATGAAACTTGGTCGTTTTGTTCATAAAATTCAAACTTACACTGAAGCTATGTGTAAAGAAATAAAAGATGAAATACCTAGGGTATTGTACAAACGTAAAAAAAAACAAATACAAAGTCCCTTTAGACATTTTTTAACTGATCATAATTACGCATTGAGTTCACAGTCTAATAAAAAATGTAAACAGAGTAGTTCAGAATGGAATGATAGTAAAACATTTTGCCCTGGTGACCCGGGCAATATCTTGGTTGAAGAACAATGGCAAAAACGATTAAATAGAGTTCAAAATCATTTTAGTCATACTAATATTCAACGGTTGAGTTATGATTGGCAGTATAAAAGTATTGAAAAAGTTGCTGTTCATTATGATAATGATCAAAATGGACAGGATAAAATATTAAACTTACCTCGATATTCCAACCATTTGTTCACTGATATTAAATATTATTCTCCAAGTTTAAGTGAACAGTATGTAGTTGGTGTTTATTTGAGTAAAGGCTATAAGCCTGTGACTCCGTATGGTGAAGATTTTCGTACATTGCAAAACAACTCCTGGTTAAATGGAACTGTGATTGACGCACTGCTATTGACTTACGTGAATAATGAAATTGGTTATATTCCTGTAAAAATAAGCAATACAATTTGGTCAGGTACCAAAGTTGAAATAGCCAAATTTGATTGGACTAAATACTGTGTGTTATTTCTACCAATCAATCCTGAAGGTAATCATTGGTCTTTATTTATCATGGACTTCATTTTGGGTTGTGTATTTTACATGGATCCTCAGTGTCCAGGATCAGGTGACTTGTACTTACCTCAATTTAAAAAAATATTGTTTTTAATGTGTGATAACGAAAAAGCAAAAGATTTACTGCATAAAATGGTTCTGAAAAAAAATTGAGTATCCTTTACAGAATGATAGTAACAGTTGTGGAGTGTTTGTGTTGTATTATTGTAGTACATACAATCCAATGTTTAGTCAGAAATTTTCAAAGGAAGTTAATGTGAGTGATTTAAGAAATACATTGCAGCATCGATGTTTAATGTACTCAGATAGTATGAATGGAAGATGCATAATGTGTGCACAAAATAGAAAAGTAAATTTTACTTGAATTAAGTGCAATAATGGTCAGCGAAGAGTTCATAATGTGTGTGTGTGTAGATGGTGTATGCCACAAATTCATGACTAAAGAATTGACAAATGAAAACTTCACATGTATCTTATGCAATAAGTACCTATTTTATGATTAAAAAATCATAAAATACAAAATAAAACTATAATATGAAATCAATATAAACAAACTAATATAATATTGTAAGTAGATAATGGATGATTGGTTACATAAGTTCGATGTTATTTATATATTACACGGACAGTAAAATTTAATTTTAACATAAAATTAGGTACCTACCTGGCTACCTAAAGTAACTAAGTCATATCTTTAAAAGTGAGCATATTAACTAGGTAGTTAAAATATTTAAATTAAAAAAAAAAAAGATAATTGTTTTAAAATCAACTTAAATTCAGAATGTAACCAGTGACATTTATTGTTTATTAACTATTAATTTTTGACTTAGAACACTGAACAATTTTAGTGTTAACTCCAACATTGACGGTCCTCAGTCCGTATGAAAAAAAGAGGAAGTGCGCTTTAAAGACATTTTCCTTTTATAATTGAAGCATTAAAAATTAATAATGCTACTCTTGGTTTTAAAGTAATGCATTGTTGTTTTAAATTGTTTTTAAATCTTAATATTATTAATTATTATCTATATTGCTTTGTTTTTTTTTTTTTTGTAGGTTATAGGTATTAACATTGTGCAGTTGCTGAAGAAGTATTTTTATGATTAAACAGCATAAAAACAGGTTCTTTTTTAGGATGCAGTTTTACTATTTTTATTTAAATAAAACATGTTGGGTATTTTACATGCTATCCATTATAGTCCATGAAATAGAAGTTAAAACCATATAACAGTATGAGTGTATGACAACTTAAAATATTAAGATTAAATAATACATGAATTTCCGGTGCCTCCCGGGAGGTGAGAATACAAGTATCGTATATTGGCGAAAAGCTGAGAAAATTCTCTATAAAACAATTGTGGTCACTAATTTCCGCGATTTTTTACGATGCCGTACCGACCGATCGAATGACCGGCCGTGGGTTTTCTACCACGGCGTCCGCCGATTTTTGGGTGATATTTCAGTATGATGTTCAGTATTATAATATTAATATTTAATATCTTATAATATTGTTTTGTATAATACAGCGCCATCTATGTGGTTGTACTATTGATGTGAGTTTTGAATTATGTTTGTGGCAAGGTTTAGTATTATATAGGCAACCCTTTATACACGTTCTTATCAATAGCTGGGTCAATTGCTAACTTCACACTCGTCATTACCGATTAGTGGTTAGTTAAAAGTTTTAAACTTTTTCCATAAGTTTATAGACGTTTTGTAATGTCTAACTCGCGTCTCATAGTTCTTACTACACGACACACGTAAGTAAGTTGTTGACTGAGGTTTCTAAAATTGTAGATATTTGCTAAATGTAACTTAATAATTTGTTGTTACTGTTTTTAGTTAACGCAATGTACTATACTGTGGTTTTCAAAACTGAACCAGCACGCGTCATAACAATTTTGGAAGTTCAGTGTGCTGACGATTGGATGTGATTCATTTTGGGACATTGTAGGTAAATCTATGACACATAATACTAAATAAAATTCTATTGTACTGTGTGCAATTATGTGAAAATTGTAAACATAACAGGTATTTAATTTAGGTACTAAAGTTTTACACCTTAATTGGCTTAATACTTAATTTTTTATTTACAATATAATCATAGCCATTCTAGTGGTGAGGGAAAAAGGGCTCAAGGGCATCCATCAATTTCGGGGGTGTCATAAAAACAAATGATAAAAAGAATAACTTGGTGTTATATTTTAGATAATAGTTTTCCTTTTATACTGTATTGCCGAAGAAGAGTACCTATCAAATTGTTTATATTATTATACTATTAAGTATTAATACCTAAACTACCTATATTTCTTCTTTAACTGGCACTGTGAGTACATCATGCATAATTTATTGTAACTTAAATCTTTGTTTATAAATTACCTCCAAATTATATATATCTGAACTTGAACTGATATTATTATTTAAGGCTAATAGCTAGAAACAGAACCCTGTGTATTTTAATAAGCATTCAATAGCTTATTATTACATGCACTTATCAGAAATCACATCTCAAAGTTTCATCCAGTATCGTTAAAGCCTATAGATCAGAAATTACCTCAACTAAGTAAATAACTTCACACATATGTTGACTACACTCTACTAACTAACTGTTTACCCTCCAATAATATGTTATCATAATATATAAATAACACTTAATTTGCATAGTTATGTTACAGAGTTACACTTATAAATATATGTTTACAAGAATTACAATTAAATGTATTTTTTTTTGTTTCTTATAGTCAGCAAAAAGTGTTTCCAAGTTCCGGATCAACTAGGATATCACTGTATAACATAAACTACCTACTCAAATTATGTTTTCTTCAGTTTATACATATATTTGGTCATTACCAGTTTCATATGGATAAAATCTACACAACTGAATTATGATTTGTTAATTTTTTAAATTAATTATGATTGCAAGAAATGAAACATTAAATTGTTGTTAAGATGGTAAGAAACAAACTATTGTTTATAAAAATACTAAAAAAATTTTAATTCAATTAAGTTGTACCTTCGTTTAAGGTTTTGATAAATGTATTTTCTATCTAATAATTGTATTAAATATAATTAAATAAGATGTTATATTTAACTTATGAATAATTCAACAAATAACTAAATTATTAATTGGTACAATGTTTCCAATTCATAATTATTCGGAGAACTTTACATGTAAATTTTTTTAAAACGAATAATATATGAATAGTAATAATAATAATCTTTATACAACGGAATATAATTTCTATTTCATTTTAAATATACAGTGTGGTACAGACATACAGTGTAAAGTATACATAATTATTATAATATTTAGTATAAAGATTTACAATAAATAGTTTAAATTTAAATATAATAACAATAATGATCCAGTCTAACACTTACCATAATAGCATATATCAGTAATGTTCTACAGATTCTGAAATTTTATTAACTATATTCATTACTTTTAAAATTTTTAGTGACTTATACGTATGTAAACTATATATGCATCGTAATATATTATTATAAAATTAAAAAAAACTTACCTGTATAAAAACTGTTATATTTTACTGCTGTGTTACGAAACGTCTTATAAAATATTAAGTGTCCAGATATTCAAAAAAGGTTAAGAACTGGCCTATATTATAGATACAATTTTATATACATTATTATTTATTATATACTAAAATAATACTTTTTTGAGATGTTGATCATGGTTAGTATTATACTTAAGTAAACCGTGATCTGTGAAGAAAATTATTATTAAATTAGCCAATAGTGTCGTACAGTTCATTAGTATATAATATAGTCATGGTTGTCTATCATTAAGTACTGTTTAGACTTACCAACTATATGTATATTCATCAATAGAGATTGACTACCTGTTAAACATAATTAAACATATTGTTACAAATTATTTTATTTGTATAAAGGTATACCAATTATATTAATACTTTAATACTTTAATGTAATCAGTTATTATGTATGGCATGCGAGAGACTTACAATATGGCAATTTACACAATCGATATCTTAATATGTTATAAATAATACACAATACTTTGGTACAATATAAAACTCAATTAATTTTAAAAATAATATCAGATTTTATTTATACGATTGTACCAAATAAATATGTTCTTGGAACAAAATAAATCTGCTTGGATACAACATTTCAGTCAATTTTATGTGTACATTAAATATGCATTATATTGGTATGATAGGTAGTAATTGATTTTGAATTTCACAATATAACTTCAGAAATATTTATATGAGACAAAGATTTCCATTTCATGGACATCAAACATAAAAAATAACGTATGATGGTTTATTTCCATTGTTAATCATTATTCATATAATGAATCGTTACATGTAAGATTGTTTATTGCATTTTGATAAATTGATCTTAAGAATGTAGAGCCTAGGAGAATAATAATGAATTATAAATTAACAATCTTATATTATGCTTACCTGCATCCACCAGGTGTAGATTCTACCTAAATACATAAATAATACATAAGTATATAGTTTAATGTTGTTACTTTTTGTCTTACTAGTATGTTAAGACTCATGTCTCATAATCTAAATACGAAAAAAAATGGTAATGTATAATATTATAATATTATAAAATATAAAATATAAAATATTTTTAAATTCGGCGGCCAGTGATAATGTAATTTGTTGTTTATTCCATGCCAAGCCGATATATTTTTCATCCATGATAGTAGTGATATAAACCGTTTTCGTTTCTACTGATATAAACCGTTTTTTTTACTGTCTGGTATAATTTTTTATTATATATATTGTGGCGACACGACCGGTATCATCACTCGCTATCACGAGTCAGCCCGGCCCGGCGGTCGTAGTTGTTTTTGTATTCTCCTTGTATTTTTGTATATATGTTCTGTGATTTATTGTAAATTTCGCGAATTATTTTCCCCACCGACTTTTTCGACGGTCAAGCGACTCTCGTGCCTTAGTCCCGCGATTTTGTCCGTTACTCCTTTTTTCGACGCCCGACTCGTCAAAACCTTTTTTCTTGTGCTTGCTTTAAAGTTATATGTTACGCCCGCACACTTACGATAAAATTCGCGTTCCGCACCACGAACGTGCTCGAACCCTTGTATGAATTGTTTCTTTTTTTTTAAATGTTTTTTTTTGTTTCATAAAATAATAAAAAAACACAATACGGTCCACGTATTCGCCTTACGCCAAATTTAACTGTGTCTTTTAATCACTTTCCTTTTTTCCTACTTACGAGTATATCGTTGGTCGATTACCGGGTCATAACACCTGACGCCCCGACGTAATCGCCACAATATAATAGATACCTTTTTATCAGTGGTCTAACCGCGTTTTCATTCAAACCTCCCCATATCAACAAACCATATTGAAATATTGCCTGGAATAATGATAAATAAATTATACGCATAACTTTCACAGGCGGGAAATTCCTTAATTTTCGAGTAACGCGGCGAAGGCGTTCTCTTGACCAGACGAACGGTACGTCTTTACCCGTTAGACACGTAAACGGGGCGGCGATTTGCGCGTATTTAACTATAAAGCGCCTAAAGTAGCCGGCGAGTCCCAAAAAGCGCCGAACTTCGTGCGCGTCGAGCGGACGCGGAAATTTAGCGATCGCAAACACTTTGCGTCCTGGTTTAACTGTACCTTCGGATATACGGAAACCCAAATAATCCAATTCGCGTGCACCGAACGTGCATTTCGACGGTTTAAGCGTCAGATTGGCGGCGCGTAGTGCGTCTAGCACTCGGCGTAGGTCGTACATCATGAGGTCCCAGCTTTTCGATGGTAATATTATATCGTCTAAATACGTACTCACGACGCCTTCGTTTTTCAGGTCCTTGAACACAATACCCATCAGCCTCTGAAAGGTTCCCGGTGCACCCTTAAGTCCGAAGGGTTTTCGCTCGAATTTTGCCGTCGTTTCTTTGGTAACGAACGCAGTCTTATTTTTGGCTTCGGGGGTGAGTGGTATCTGCAGGTATCCGTTGGAGAGATCTAACGTCGTAAATATTATACCGTGCGATAGGACTCCGAGAACAATAATTATTTATTGAGATATAGAACGTCAAAGTCAAAAACTGCCCCAAGTTAGGCACTTCTACGGTGCGGAAAATTCAAAAATAATTTTAACGTTAGTTGTGTAAAGAAAGTTAATATACGGGGTGTCAGGATATTAAAGCAATTACAACGCTTGAATTAATTATGGTGATATAACGGTTTGTTATTAATAAGAAAATACAGAAAATACAGCAGTGGTAATGGCTTCGAACGGAAACGGCGGTTCGTCCGCGGACACACACATCGTGTCCAGCGGTTACGGCAAAAACAGGTCGCTGCGCCCGGAGTGCAGCGGCGGAGATAGACTGGTCGGCCGACCGACCAGTGCTACCCGAGTGTACATAAAAAAAAATAAATCGCTAACAGTTGGTAGTTTTATACTAAGACTCATATTCGTTGTAATTATTTTGTATTTGATTAGATTATCATATATAATTATATAATATTGAACTTAGAACCTGCCTTTGACTTTTAATCATGATATTATGTGGGCTAGACTAAGATGGTACTCAGTTTCCTGTCTAGTTAAAAATCATAAAATTTCCCCATAAATAAAAACAGTTTATCTGATACATTTTAAAATAAGCTTTAAAAGGAAATACATCTCAACATAAGAGTGCTAATATCTTTATTGACATTCTATTAAGATAAGACCAGAGAATTAAATAATACATGTAACAAATGTTAAAAAACTGGTATTTTACATTATCTTAATAAACTATTAAGTGGCATTGATGCAATAAACCACAGAATATAATATACAAGCTGTTATTATATTGTAAAAATTAATAGTTATTGTAATTTGTATTCATTTTTTGAATTATATTTAAAATGAGTGAAAGTGTATCTAAGAGTCATCTATTACAGTGCTTTAAAAAAATCGATCGTTATAATTATCAATGCAGGAAGTGTGGCAAAATATATAAAACGCCAAATGGTGGAGTAGGCAATTTGAGGGCTCATTATTTAACACATGTAAATAATCCATCCAAACACACCCAAACGCCTGATAAAAAATTACTAACTACACTAACTGAAATGGATATTGATGATCCAGAATCAAGAGAACATCATTTAGTAAGTACACATAAATAGTGATAATATTGTAATAACAGAAATACAGGAAAATTTACTTATGAACGCCAGTATGCGGTGATCCCGGTTTAGTAATACATTTTAATTTAAAAAAAATTGTAGATACCAAGTACATCAAAAGAACAAATAGCAACAGTTCCACAAGCACAGATAAGTTTACCTGAAATGTTTGGCAATATGAGATCTTTAGAAAGTAAGTAAATAAACTATTAAAAATTAAAATGTAAATCTCTACTAGTTTTAAATATACTAACTGCATGTTTTGACTTATTTAATTGGTTAGGTGGAACAAAAGTAAAAAAATCACCGACATTATTATACATTATTTTGTGAAAGACAATGTACCATTCAAAACAATAAAGAATGAAGGATTTAAAAATATGTTGCAAACTATTTGTCCTTTGTATAAACCGACTCTCTCGACTGGTTGAGATACAATTGCCCGTCGAATTGATGATTTGTATACTGTTATGGCTAGCAATTTCCGTGAGGAACTTTCAAAAGTCTCTTTTGTTTCTATCACAACAGATGTCTGGACAGAAACAATGTAATTGAGAAGTTTTCTCGGCATAACTACACATTTAATCCAAGATGGAAAATTAAAAACAAGTAATATACTTTATTGTTTACATAATTTTAAACTTAAACTTAAAACTTATTTTATTATTTTATTGATAATTATAGAAAATATTGATACTGTTGAA